CAATATAGGCAACAAAAAAAAGGTTACGGTCACCTTCTGGTTGATTTTAGCATTGGAAGCTTATGTTTTGTATGGGTATGAAGTTACCGGTTTCGTCAAGCAGAAAAGAAGACAGTGGTGTCGCGTGAAGTACTTACTTAATAGTGCGCAATTGTTTTGTTAATTCCAATCTAAAATTCTCGCACGTCTCCTTATGAGGATCACGAGCATGTTATGAGGGTTATTATTCAGAAAGTTTAACCGGAAATTAATTAATCATTGTACTAAAACAGGGCTGCTCAATGTTTTTAACTGGCGGGCGAAACGGACTATTCAGACAGTGATGAAAGGTTCTTTTTTCTTTATCAATTTGACACAAACTTCTCTACGTGTTCTTGACCCTTCCCCACAACTATTTGGGATTGCGAACTCAGTGGTTTAGTAACGATTGAATGTGTGTCATAATGATCCAGTGGCAAGGAAACTCAGCTTGTAACCGGTCAGCCCGGGTTCGATTCTTTGCGTGAAAAGTTTTTTTCTTTTTTTTTACAAAAATGCGCTTCACAGTTTAGCGGAGTTCAAAATGAGACCGAAATCTAATTCCCAATTAGAATGAAAAAAATGGCGACTGAAACCATAATCGTCTGATTGTACTCCTTAAGAACCCCAGCTGGGTGTACACTGTACAGTGTAATAAATAAATCGAAGAGAGCTCGCAAAACTATGTGTAGAGTTACTTAGTTGATCTCCTGGTGCGAATATTCCAGCAGTGATTCGTATCATGCGCCTGAACTTTATTAAAAGATCGAGGGTGGAAAGTTTAACTCTTCGAATCTGATCTATAAAGGTTCCATTTTGTCCAAACTCGCGGTTGGAAATCCACTTAAATTTCAAACTGCCAGAAAACTTGAATAAATATATATGTGGCGAATTGTGAATCTGTTTTCATTTAAATGTTTGCAAATTACATGAGAAACAATGCGATTTCAATCGAAACTTTCTACAATTGAGGTTTGATTGGCTTTTCAGTAAAAGTCGCTATCCCTTTACTTTTTAATTATAATTATTTACTACTACGTTTGTTACCTGCGAATCTAGTGCAACATTCAACTTTAAAAATGTTAAATAAATGAATAGGTACATACTACAGTCCACAAAAACACAGAGAATGATGTAGTAGTCCAATCTTAAACATCCTTGTCGTTTTAAAGTCTACTGTGCACAATCTATAAACATAAACAAGTAAGCTAACGAGAATTCCTTATAGATTTTGACCCGTAGGATCCAAAATGTTAATTTACATAGTTTGAACGACAACGTCTAATTTTTTGTTTAAATATCCGTTTGTGCAGTGTTTAAATGACAGTTTGAGCCCATTCTGGATTTGTTATTGTGAGTGACTATCTAATTGAACTAGCTGGACAGGGGTGTTTTCTGGGTGGCTTAATGACCGTTTGCAATTGCACACAGCAGTATTCATCATTTATCTATCATGAAATTCACTAAAATTTATACTCGTACTAATTGTGCGCAGTTTTGTGAAGTATTATCAGATGAAAATTTGCTATGTATTCAAGTTTGCAGTTTATCAGTTTTCATTTCATATTCCGTTTCAACATGAAGCCGAGAACTTTCAAGGCGATCACAACGACAAGAGACATGATTATTTCTATGTAAATTTTATTGCAAATGCAAGACTATACACGTATATGGTACTTAAATTTGCAAGTTAATCCTGTAGATTTTGCAGCTCGTTGAATTGTTAAAATGTTCACTTCGCAAACACAATTTTGCTGTTGCTTGATACTTATGAACGAATAGAAGAAGTTCGAATTAAGCCGACGACGAGCCTAATTCAGTTACGTAACTGCTAAATTCAACTAGTCCACAATTTAGAGGAGTGCGAAGACCATTATGCTGACAGTGACAACTAAGTAGCGAGGGCACATTACAAGAGAACTGATGCAATTGACATCTAAACTGGAGCACAAATGAACTAAATGAAGCAATATTCCAAGTTTCGGTTAATCCGTTCTTGGAGTACCAAGTTCAATTGAAAGCCGGGACCGCGTTAGTAAAACTTCACCTACCGACGAATATCGACGCTTTTGAATCAAAAATCTAAAATAAATCAACGCGAATAACCTTTCAGCTGAAAAGTGGCGTACGTCATGCAGTATTTTTCGATTACCTTAAGAAGTGTTTTTTTAATAGCGATGTTACGAAATTATAGAACCGTTTCATTCGGTTGCTTGAATTTTAAAGGCAAAGCGGTCTACTTATTCGTTTTCCATTCTGGAAAAGATTTATTAAATGGGCGAAGTTTCTCCATTTGCGAATTTTCTTTTCTCTCTCACACTACTATTCCTTAAAAGTTTCAGTTAAACCTAAATATTTTATTACACTGATACCTTTCGATATTGGTTACACGTTACACTATTATTAAATGGAAGAGCGCACATCACAGTATGTAAAACAAAGCAAAGAAAAACAGTATGGAAATCGTCCCAGAAAGATCTCGTTTCCCGTAAATTCGTATTCCAGGCACAAATTAAAGTCAAATTAATTTCGGAGCAATACATGATGATGCGTAGAACGCCATCTGTGTAGATGTTTTGGCGGCGCTAAAGTGTACTGTAATGAACTAAAAGCTGTCACTACAATTGTTAAAAATTTTACATTTCAAAATAGTCGCGTCAATGAAGGTTTTTCTCGGGAAGTCCTCAGAAACAGCTCCGATTCTGATGATTCTTTTTTTCTAACATATTTCTTTTTCTATATTGCTTAAAATCAGAAACCTTTTAGATGGGGAAGTAATTATTTATATTGTCTAAACAACATTTATGCTACTTATTTAGAAAAAAACAGTCAAAAACAAGATTTTCGGTAACTGTTCGACCGGTAGAAACTTTGCACT